TGTTATTCTTAAAATAACTACTACATTATAGTTATTCTCTAACTAGTCTAACAACTAACATCACATTTTGGTACCAAGCGATGGTGCATATATCTCTCGTCTTGAAACTGGCAATTGACAAACTTGCATCACATCTCTGCATCATTTTGTCCAAAGCTCTCCCAATTGTCTGGAAGCTTTGAAGCTCTGTCTCATTTTTATCGATCAACTAATGCCTTCACATGCATAAAAAACTTGCAGAGTGATTGTAAAACCGTATAAATTTATTTTAAGAAAGAAAAAGAAAACAACAAATATATTTAAATAGTTAAATTATATAATGTTAAAGTTATAAAACAAAGTAAAATCACACGTATAAAATTAAATATTCAAATTGAAGTTAAAAATTTTAAATAAAAACAGTAAGTTATGATTTTTAAATCTTTGACCCTTTAACATCTTCATCATTTTTATAATTATCCAAGTCTTTGAAATTGTTTAAATTTTAACTTTTTCATATTTGATGCTTTTATCTCTTAAAAAATTGTTGTTCAAGCAATGTCTTTTATTTATATATTATCCGTTATTCATTTATCATTAGATTAAATATCTTGAAAGAGAATGATAAAATTTCTTTTTATTTGTTTATTTTTTAACTTTGTATTGTTCATTACATAAATTCAGTTATTCGTTTTTTTATGTAATTAAATTCTTTTCTTTGTATGAATTTAGAAATATTCTAAACAAATAAAAGTTAAAAATTATATATAAAAAAACTCATAATTTTATTTACCATTTCAAATGATTTTCAATTTTGTTTACGTCTAAAAGAGCTTCAAGTCAAGCTAAGAACATGAATTGCAAACATTTTTACCTTTAGACATTCATTCCCATAGTAGTCTCACCATATTTCAAGAAACATAATATTCTTATTTAATTTTGCATCATCAAGATCAAAAAGACTTTGAGCATAATGAAATTTAGGAAACTAATTATGAATCATATTTTTTACAATTGAGTCATTTACCATCTTTGCCAAACAATTATATAAGCTTGTTTAACCTCAAAATCATCATCTCCAAACTCAAGATCATAGTTAAAATTGAGAGTGAGGTAATGTGTAGTTGCATGTAGAAACTAATGGAGTTGATTATCTTATCTTTCATCAATAGTTTTTTATATAGATTCATAACTACAAATAAATGTAAAAACTACATACAAGACAATTAGGCATAGTCTTATATTAAAGAATTAAACAAAAATTAATAAATCTTAAGTGAAGAAAAAATAATAATATTTACCTTTTTTAACATATTTAAAGTTAAGTTTTATCTTTGGTCAATCCATTGCATCACAAATGAAACATATAACATGTTTTTTTTCCCCTAAATCCACCAAACAAAGGACAAATATAAGAGGAACATCACCCTTAATACATATAACTATATTCTTCTACAATTGACTATCTAAAACCATATTTTGCAATTTCCTCCCATCTTAAGAAGATATAAACTTGGTTGTTTTCCAATCGTTTGAGTTAAACATACTGATCAATGTTGCTTTGTCATCCATGATACATGATAATGTCAAATATGCAGTGACAAATTGTGTCACACTAAACCTAAAATATTTTTCCTGTAAAAAACCTCTTCAATATGCTAATGTGGTGTTCTTTCTTCCTTTTTGAATAGTTACTTGATGCACCTTCAATTTTTTTTTTCAAAATTTTCTTATATCAAATCAATATAATGGACAACACAAAGAGTCTAATATGAATTCTTTCTTTTCTCTATTAACATTTCTCTTGCTATTTTGTAATTTGGAGCATTATATGTACTTGCACCACATTTTGCTCTCCAACAAATTCCACAACAACATTTAATATCTTGGAAACTTTTCCATTATTTTAGAAATGTCAAAAGTATCTAATGATAGAAAAAATTGTTCCCTTTGGATTATTCACACAAAAAGTTACAAATTGGACATTTTTTCTTGTATGTCCGTCCATTTGACATAATCGAGCAATATTTATAATGTTTGTTGATTTTCATGACTTTATCCCTCTTTATATGATTTTCTATTTCAACTATCTCACCTAAAATTATTAAGACCCTTTTTTGCCACATTACAATCTAAAAAAAACTATCATTATGATTTTGATCCATCAACTTAAGACATTCTATAAGAAAAAAATTTGCAAATTTTCAAGTCAATAATCATTCAATATTTTGTTCACATTCCACAAAGAGCAAATTTGTAAATTTACTCACTTGAGTAACAGAATAATGGAGTAGTGATATGAGGGAGGTATTGCACTTCACTTTTTTTTCTTCCGAGTTTGAAAGTTATGTTCTTTTTGCACATGCATTTTGCTCTTTGTTTGTTGTAAGAAGCGCTTAGGATGTGCACTTTGCTCTCTATTCATTGCAAGAAGTTCGGTTTTGTTCACACTTTGTAGTTTGTTGCACAACATCGTTGATTGCTGGCAAAAATAAAGAAGGAAAGAGATATGACATTGTTTGGGGAAAGGAAAATTTTTTAAGTTACAAAGGTTCTTATCAAACTTCTATGGTAGTACATAGACTATGTTTTTATGGTGAGAAACACACCTAGAAGATTGGTGGTATGGACAAATTTTTTGACTAAAATCAAAGAGAACCCCAGGTTCCTACACCTTAATGAGTCATGGACCTGTGAAAATATTTAAGTCTTAAAATATTATCGAAGGAACTACTTTTTGACACATTTCTATAAAGACCATCAAAAGAGCTTCATTTTTTGGTCGAAAAGACATTTCGAGAAATTTTGGAGGGTCGTAAAAAGAGCTTCATTTTTTGTCGAAAAAAAACCCTACATTTCAAAGAGTTTTGAAGAGTCGGAAAAGGAGAGAAACCTTAATTTTTATCGAAAAGAGGGTTGCATTTCAAGGAATTTTGGGAATTCTTGAGTCTTAGATTGAAAACATTCAAAACTAGTCGAAAAAAAGGATAGAACTCACGGATTCTCACTAAAACTCATTGAAATAGAAATTGACAATAAAGTTATTCTAAGTCCAAGAGACATGGTGAAACTTTAAAAGTGGAGAAACATATCAAAAGAACTACAAGGTTTGAAGAGACTATCAAAGCAGTAATTACCAGCAGTTACCATCAGTTGAAAGTTAGAGACATGAAAAATCAATCGTAGGCAACAACGGTTATGAAGAAGGAACAATCACAAGCAGCTAAGGATAATGAGCGGTAGTGGTTGAAAACAAGTATGTGCAGAAGATAGTTATCAAGAGACCTACAAAGAAAGGAAAGCGGTTAAGATGCATCTGCTTATAAATAGTACCAAACTTTTGGCACCAAACACTAATACCTAAAATTCTTTATACGCTGAAATTCTGCACCGAGTAAGACATCAACGACCAAAATATTCATGACTGTTGTTATTCACTATGAAAGTCATACGTTACATTTATGCAATTTTTTTCATGCAATTTAATTCACTTTTAGTTTGTTTCTATAATCCTTTACCTTCATTTTAATATTGTTTTATTATCCTTCTATTTTTGTTTTAATTATTTACTTTATGATGTCGATTTCACTATTGCATTAATGACACACTTAAAAGAATTTAAAAATAATTTAAAATTTAATCTCATATTGTTTTTAAATTTATTTATTTATCAATTACAATTTTCACCGTAAACAAATGTGCATGACAAAAACGAGGGAGATTCTGATATTTGTGTACAACAAAAATGACTTATCTAAAATAAGATACGATTTGAATACGAAGGAAGGAAAAATGGAGTTGCAGACATGATAGAGACTATAAAAGTTCCGAACATGACGGTTATTACAAAGGCATGTTAGATGAGGTGAGAGCTTTCTTGAGTGATTTCAATCTATACCACAAAAGGAATAACCCTAAGAGAATGTTTCCAAAGAGGATTTTTGGGAGAACGGAAGAATAAAATTTATATTTTAAATAAATATATTTAAAATCAATATTTTTTTAAATTAAAAATATAAAATATATTTATCATCATAATTAATATATAATTTTTTAATTTAAAATTTAAAAATATGTCATCTTTTCTTTCTTCGCCAAAGTACCCCTCTCAATCATATATTAAAAAACAAGGTCAAAATGTAATCATTGTGCTAGAAAAAAACTTTCTTTTGGAACTCATAAACTCGCTTTCGAATTCACTATTCTATCCGAGTTTATGGGAGTTCAATCGAGTTTATCTGATAGCGATTTCATTATTGTTCTAAGATGTTTTTACAACAATCATGTTTCGTAAAACGAGTGAAAAAATTGAAAAAAACAACGTAAAATTTCACAAGCTATATGCCTTGTAAACTATATATAATTATATTTTGTTCTTCAGTCATTATTGTCTGCAAGCAAAATTTTCAAACAATTTTTTTAACTTGAACACAAATTTTATTAAAATTTGTTCCTTAGTCAATTTATTTTAATAAGTTTTTTACATAGTTTATTCAAATAATTTTTAATTTAAATTTATAAGTTTTATATCTTAAATTATGATACAAAATTCTTATACAATAAAAATTTATTTAAAATATTTAATTAAATTGTTATCTAAATACTTACATATAATATATTTATTTTTATTAAAAATCATTAAATCTAATGCGTGGATACATTAAACATTATAAAATAAAATTTAATTATAATTCTTTAAGGGATTTTCACATATCAAAGTTTAAAATTTAACTCAATAATCCACAATAATATTAAATATAGATATTTTATTAAAATATAATACTTCAAAATATAAACTTAAATTTTAATATTCTATTAAATATTTTAGATACATATTAAAAAGTTTAATTTAATACTTCCAAAAAATAAATAAAGTTAACCTTACTCTTAGTCTCCTTGCAAACGATGAACCTCCATAAAAATTAACATTGTTGATTCCATTGAATGGGTATTGTGGATAGCGAATAGTAGGTTGGTGAGATCATGGGATGCAGCATGCACCACGTCTTTCCATCTCTCTTTCTCTCTGAGTTTGGTAAGAGACAGAGACTTTAACGTTGACAACACACAATAAAATGGTGTTGCTAAAAGCAAACCAAAAAAAGAACACAGACACAGAACAGAAGCAACAACTATACCCATCAACGAACCATGCATAAAATTAGAACTTCAGAACGCACTCTAATCTTTCCTTCTCACCCTCCCTTCCTCCATGATCATCCCCTCTCTCTCTCACACCTAGACACCGATCGTAATCTCCACCTCACTTTCCGCTACCTTCGCGCTTACGTTTCCAACGCCACAACCTCCCGCAACCCCTTCCACGTCATCTCTTCTTCCCTCTCCCAAGCCCTCCCTCACTTCTATCCCCTCGCCGCCACGCTTCGCCGCCGCCAAAATGACCGCCGCCTCGAAATCTGGTGCGCCGCCGGCCAAGGCGTTCCCCTTATTCACGCCGCCGCAGATTTCACCCTCGACTCGGTGAACTTCCTTGACGACCCGGCATCCATTTTCGTGGAGCAGTTGGTGCCCGACCCGGGACCCGAAGAGGGAATGGAGCACCCGTGCATGCTTCAGGTGACGGTGTTCAAGTGCGGCGGCTTCACTCTCGGCGCGGCCATGCACCACGCGCTCTGCGACGGCATGGGCGGGACTCTGTTCTTCAACGCGGTGGCTGAGTTGGCTCGCGGGTCGACCCGGATAACGGTTGACCCAGTTTGGGATCGCGAGAGGTTGCTGGGTCCCAGGTACCCGCCCCGAGTGGACTCGCCGTTGATAAGGGAGTTTCTGCGTTTGGAGAAGGGGTTTTCACCGTACGAACAAGACATTGGTGAGGTGGTGAGAGAGTGCTTCCATGTGAGGGATGAGCGCTTGGACGAGTTCAAGAGATCCTTGTTGGAACAATGTGGGTCCAATTTCACCACTTTTGAGGCTCTCGGTGCTTACATTTGGAGGTCCAAGTAAGTCAATTTTAATCTTAGGGGGAAAATAATAGAATGAAATATATTATTAATTCAGTTAATGTAATAACTTATGATTGTCCCTTGTTTGTGACCGTGCTAATTGCTAAGACAGGGTGAGGGCCTCGGGATTGGAGGCTCATGAGAAGGTTAAATTTGCATACTCAATTAATATTCGGAGACTAATGAAGCCATCGCTACCTGCTGGCTATTGGGGTAATGGTTGTGTTCCAATGTATGTGCAGCTGAGTGTAAATGATTTGATAGAGAGACCCATTTGGGAAATAGCAGAGTTAATAAAAAAGAGTAAAAGTAATGTTACTGATGAGTATGTTCGGTCTTTCATCGATTATCAAGAGTTGCATTTTGGCGATGAAATCACGGCTGGGAAAGGGGTGAGTGGGTTCACTGATTGGAGGCACTTGGGCCATTCAACTGTGGACTTTGGGTGGGGAGGCCCAGTTACCGTTTTTCCGCTTGGAAGGAACTTGCTTGGGAGTGTTGAGCCTTGCTTCTTTTTGCCTTATTCAACGGCCAGTGCCGTGAAGAAGGAAGGGTTCAAGGTTTTGGTGACTTTGGCTCTGGCTGCGTTGCCTGCTTTCAGAGAAGACATGCGAGTGTTTTGCCAGGACCCGACCATGTAAACTAATAAAGATGATACATTTTGTCAATCACAGGCTGTCTAAAACTCTATAAAGGTTTATGATGTGTAAACTTTTAAAATGATTTTAAAAAAGATTATGATAATGGAAAAATTGGGTGATTTTTCTTAAATATATGAGCTTTTGTCTTGCTTAACGCTTAACATGAGTGAAGTTGTAATTAGCATGAAAGGTAACTCTAGTAAGGCTGATTTGGCGAGATGTTTGCAGGTAAGGTTTTGAAGGTCTAATTCCTGCCTCCTAATTAGCTTGGAACTTGGATGTTGTTGCTGTGGGGTCTGATGTTATTCATCTGAAAGCTCATTTCTTGTTTGAGTTTTGCCTGCAGCAAAGAACATTAATAATTATGTTTTTCATTCTTAAAAACGAAAAATATGTAAGATTTTTGTAACAAAGTATTTTAATTTCTGTTAATGCAATGAATTTTAATATAAAAAGGTTCTCTCATCAACTCTCAATTTCTCATGAGTTGATGAGGGAGAAAAATATAAATGGCGGTATATGTTAAGGGTGTGTTGAGAAATATAGTTTAATTAAGTAATTAATAAATTTTGAAGTAGGGAGTGTTTAATCTAATTTATTTTGATTTTTTCCCCTGAAAAAATTATACCGAACAAAATAAAAAAATAAAAAAGAGCTTTTGAAAAACATTATTTTCATTGAGAAAAATTGAAAAAAGAACTTTGAAAATGCTAATTTTAGGAATTAATAGTTTTTTATTCTAAAATCTTAAAATTTAAAAATATATTATTAAAGAAGTTTAAACGTAAGATATCTTATAAGCATAATAAATATAGAATTTCCAAATTGCGTTAATTTTAAATTCAAAATTTTTTTACCTTAACTTTAAAATGAATTTAAAGTTCTAAAAATTCGTATAAAATATTACCTTAATGCAACAAACAATCATAATTATTAATCTGAATATTTATTAAGGATAATTATTTGTTTTAAAAAGTTTTTAAAAGTTTAAAATAAATTAATACAAAACCACGCAACAATAAAATGTAATATAGAAATTAAATAATAAAAAAAAGAAACTACCCTTATGCGAAGATTAACGGGGCAAGAAATACATGCTTTTTTTTTTCTTTCAATTTAACTACTAAATTATAAATCCGGAACGGAAGAGAGAGAAAGAACGAAAATCTATCTATCTTCTTATCCGGAGTTTGGGAAGCCAATAGGAAGCGTGCCAACTGCCATGAATTGTGAATAAAAAACAAACCACACAACCTCTCCATACCATTCTTCTCTTCTTCGGTCATGGCGTCCACTCTCGGCACTTCTTCGATTGCATTTGCTGCTATTCCTTCACGTTACCTCTCTTCCCTTTCTCATAAGCCCTCCATTCATACTCTCTCTCTTACTTCAGGTACATTGCTGTGCAAAATCTTTGTCTTTTCCTTTCTTCTTTTTTCTTTAAATTTGGCGTTTTGGGAGGGTATGCGAGAGACCCAATTCATCTCTGTTGTTTCTTTATGCTTAAGTTATGAAATTTTTTTGTCTGTAACTGGAAATGGAAGGTGGGTCCTAATGGACATTATGTGATTGTTAGTATCTATGTCGTGTGGTTGTGGCTATGCAGGGCAGAGCTCTGGGCGGAAGTTTTGTGGAGGAATTGGAATTCATGGCATTAAGGGAAGGTCTCAGTTCTCAGTTGCCAGTGTTGCCACTGAAGTGAACGCTGTAGAACAGGTAGGTAAGGGATATTTCATTTTTGAGGTCTTGTTTTCTTTCGTTGTCTTTGCCATTGCATTAGGTAGGGACACTAGATTGTAGTACACCCCATTTTTTTGTTGATTCATTTGCCACGAATTTTTGGCAAATTATAGATTGAAGGCACAACAAGTTTTAGACCGTATTGTGATATTTCTAACTTGCAAGGTGAAAATTAGAGGAATGATATGAGTCCATATTTGAACTTATATTGTGTCCAATTACCTAGTTTAGTTTCAGATTTCTTAGAAAATTAGAAACAAAGGATTCTGACCTTTACATTTTGACTCCTTTTCTTTGGTGCATGTATGTGTGTGATATCTTTCTAACTCTATAAACTTTTCGTATCCAGGCTCAGAATATTACTTCTAAAGAAAGCCAGAGGCCGGTCTACCCGTTTTCTGCCATAGTTGGACAGGATGAGATGAAGCTTTGCCTTCTCCTTAATGTGATTGATCCTAAGATTGGAGGTGTGATGATCATGGGGGATAGGGGAACAGGGAAATCCACAACAGTTAGGTCATTGGTTGATTTACTTCCTGAAATTGAGGTTGTTGCTGGTGATCCATATAACTCAGACCCGCAAGATCCAGAATTCATGGGTGCTGAAGTGAGAGAGCGTGTACTGAATGGAGAGCAACTTGCTGTTGTCTTAACCAAAATTAACATGGTTGATTTGCCATTGGGAGCCACAGAAGATAGAGTGTGTGGAACAATTGATATTGAAAAGGCCTTGACTGAGGGTGTCAAAGCATTTGAGCCTGGGCTATTGGCTAAGGCCAATAGAGGAATACTATATGTTGATGAAGTTAATCTTTTGGATGATCACTTGGTTGATGTGTTGCTGGATTCTGCAGCATCAGGTTGGAACACAGTGGAGAGAGAGGGTATTTCTATCTCACATCCTGCTAGGTTTATCCTAATTGGCTCAGGCAACCCTGAAGAAGGAGAACTCAGGCCACAGTTGCTAGATAGGTTTGGAATGCATGCTCAAGTTGGAACTGTTAGGGATGCTGAGCTGAGAGTGAAGATTGTGGAGGAGAGAGCTCGGTTTGACCAAAATCCAAAGGAATTCCGAGATTCTTACAAAGCTGAGCAAGAGAAGCTCCAGAATCAAATTTCCTCAGCAAGGAGTGTTCTTTCTTCTGTTCAAATTGATCAAGATCTCAAAGTGAAAATTTCCAAGGTTTGTGCAGAGTTGAATGTGGATGGATTAAGAGGAGACATAGTAACAAATAGAGCTGCAAAAGCTCTTGCTGCTTTGAAGGGAAGAGACAAAGTAAGTGCAGAAGATATTGCTACTGTCATCCCTAACTGCTTGAGACACCGTCTTAGAAAGGATCCCTTAGAGTCAATAGACTCGGGTTTACTTGTCACTGAAAAATTTTATGAGGTCTTCAGCTGAGTGTTATAGATATAACATGGTCTGTTGCTGAGGTATTTGATAAGGATATAACTATTTCATTATTTACATTTTATCTTAACCTTTTCTATGGGGATACTTAATATCCTTAGACACGAGTAAGATTCATGGATTCCTTATACACGTGGGGAACTCCAAGCCTTTTTTAACGTGAAGAGTCGTTCTCTATTTTCTTCTACTTCTCCATTTGTAGCCTATTAGAGTAACTCAGCCCCTAACAGTCATTACTCCATTGCAAACAAAATTGATGAAAACTAGGATCTGGATCTTCTCCTGATGGGGCGAGAACTCAACTTTCTAGTTTATTTTTGAATCTATCCCATTAATGTTTTGAGAGTTGAGATTTCGCTTATGTGGAATAAGATAAGCGAATCTATCTCTTCCTTTGCTGCTGTAACTGTAACTGTAACTTCCGTTAAAAATCAGTGCTATGTTCTGAGGTTCCCTCAAAACAATAGATTTCACATCGTACAATTGCATACATATCTAAGATAAGTTGATGGTAATGATGAGTGGTCATAAGCAAATCAAGATCCCAACATTGAACGGAAGACGTTTATTTTCTTTGGTACTTTGATTTGAAAATAGAGCAAATTGAAAAAAAAAAAAAAAAAAAAACCTAATGGGTGTAACACTTGTAGAACTAATTATTGCACATCAGATTTCTCTGTTTGTACTCAAAGAAAGAATATTCTTGCAGCTATTGCTCTTTTTCTGCTCGCAAACAAATACTCTCTAAGCTAAAGCAGCTTCTTTAGTACTACCAAGAGGAAAAAATCAACATCACCATCACAGGTCACAGTCTCGGCTTTTCCTTGGCCATTCTCAGTGCTTATGAAATTGTTGCCCTGTTAATTCCCTTAAACGAATAGCTAAGCAAAAAATTTTGCTTTTTGCGTGTTTTTTTTTTTTTTGTAATTTTTATAAGATTCACTTAAGCGTATCTCAATTTGTTTAGATGAAAATGGAACTAAGCTGTCCAATTTTTGCCACAAAAAAGATGATATTGATCTTGAATATTTGTTTGCCGTTTGCCCACCTCTAAGATTCTACTTTTTCTAAGGTGTTAAATCGAGTTTGGCTTACTTAAGAAAATGTTACTTTGATTAGTCATGGAACACAAGACACACCAACATATTAAGTGTGAACGAGCACCTTAAATAAACAGTTAACGTATCTAATGAAATACAATAAATAATTAATAAATAATTTTTTTTTGTTAAAAGCTAAATGATAACTATGTGAGTTAATATATTATATGACTCAAATAAATTAGTAAGATGTTCTGCAATAATGTATTTTAGAATTTATAATATTTATATTTTAATCTTTAATAAATTTTGTAAGTTAAGGATATCAAAACAATAGATATTTAAAACATATTCTTAAAAAAAAATTTGAAAGAAAATATCTTCTAAAAATATAATTATAACAATTTCAAGGTGAATTTTTTTTTCATTCACATTAAATTCAACTCTATTATCTCAAATTCATTTCCTTTCATCTTTGTTGCTAAAGCTAGTTTAAACATTTTTTGTGTTTTTAACAATTAGTTTAATAGATTTAGTAATTGTGGTTGACATTTAAGTAAAATAGATATATAAGAAAATAGATCAAATAGAATCAAATAATCATTTTTTGAAATAGTGTCGTAGAATTTTTTACTTATTCCATGCAAACATCTTTATCAAATTTAACAACCTAAATAACCATACTATTTTTTTATTATTATTTATTATACTTTGAATTATAATTATTGTAAGTGGAACCAATTAAATTTGAAAATATCATATACTCATCCCAATTCTTTTAGCAAACAATAACTTGGCTAAATTGGAACAAGGGGTAATAACTAAAGAGATGTAGTTGAATATTAAAAAATGTAAAAAAATTATTTTCTGTAATTTTCGCTTAAGCTATTATTTTTTTCTTAAGATAAAATTGTAGGATTCTTGTGTATGCACAATTTACTTAAGTCAGATAAATTTTACTTAACCTAATATTTTCGCTTAAGAGAATTTATTATTGCTTAAGCAATATTAAGCTTTTTTTTTTTTTTTTACTATAACTTTCACTTAAGCAAGGTTGAAATGCATCAAGCAAAATTTGCAAATATTATGCTAAGCATATGTGACCAATGTACAAAGAGGGCATGAGAAATATTTAAAATCATATTGAATAATTTATCAATGTAAAAAAATTTATTTTCATGATAAATTGAGATTATGAGAGTGAATGTGAAAATTTTAATTCTGAACATCATGAACTACATACATAGGAATTTGTAGTGAACCTTAAAAATTTAAAATGACATTTAATATTCTATTAATTCAAATATTATTTTTTATTATAAATTAAAATTGCATCATGTGAAACTTATAAGTCTTAAAATTACCACACAATTACCTGATTCATAAAAGATTTGTATGAAAAAGATAAAAAAATTACTATCAATACAATCCTATAAAAATTTTAAATAAAAAGTTGAGGTTTAAAGAATAATTTTGTAAATTCTTATAAAAAATTAAATTATTAATATATAAAAACTAGTATTATTAAGTAAAGTTAAAATATTTGAACGGTTAATTTTTTAAAAATATATCTAATAATTTAAACATGTTAATTCACTTATACACCACTAAATTGCTTACTTATTTTAGCATGACCCTAAAAGTTACAATATTTAATATTATCAATGTATTATATTTTATGATGTTTTGTGAATTTTATTAAAATTCCACTGTACATAGATTTTTGTTGTATATCTTTGACACGTTAAAAGAAATTATAAATAAAATTTGTTGTGTTCCTAAATATTTTAAGCTAAAATTATGGGGACAGTAATCTAGTAACTAACCAAACAACTTATAAAACTATATTTATCTGGGTAAAAGTTGGAAACAGATAAATAATAAAAAAATATTTGGGACTGTTTTTTTTTTTTTTTTTTGTTCTAGCATGCTAGTAGTGTGCTTTATGTTGAGAGAATGTTTTAGAAACATTTTTACAAAATGACTAGAATGTATTAAACAATATGAAGTGTAAGAGAAATAACAACTTATGAATATCTGACTAGTGGGATAAACCATGCAAATGTAATGCGTGTTCTTGCCGGAGGAGTGAATATATACTCTCAACCCTAGACATGTTTATTAAAAAATAAAGACACATTAATTGTTGAGAACGAAGAAAGGTCAAGCTTAGTTTTTTTCATAGAAAAAAGCATTAGTCCTTGTTAATGCAAATTGTTATTTTCAAGTTTATGTTGACTAACATATCTTGGAATGTGAGCTATTACCAGGAGCAACCAATTACCTTTTTTAAAAGCATAATATATCTATAAGGGAGTAAAATACATTTGAAAGCCTTTCAAGTTAAATACTATTAGCTAAATTTAGATTAGCAAAGTGCTAAGAAACCCTCATTACATCCACTCTTCTATACCTTGTAATTCTTGCAGCGTCCACTCTTCATGTATGTTGAAGTTGGTTCCCATCAATAATAAACAACCATGTACTTTTAACGCATTAGAAAATTTAAAATAGAAATTAAACAAAAACAAGTTCTCCCATGATTTATTACTAAGTCCAAAATTTAATTTATTTAAGAAAACTCTTATCAAAATACACACAAAGAAATCTTAATTAGCTAAATAAAAAATATATTTGTTAGAAAGAAATTCGTTTTCACTAATATTTTTCTTGTAGACATTATTATTTTTATGTTTACTATGCATTATTTTATATTTATCTACATATGCAATTTCTCACTCCAGCCACTCTCCATCATTCATTCGCTTAAGTAAATTTTGTATGTAACAAATAATGTTGGTTACTCTGGCACTTGAACAAGTGTTCATGTACTCAGCATAATACAATGTAGCCAAAGCAAAATTCCTATTCTACTCTAGTCATCCTTCTAGCCTTATCATATCACTCATTTATGATTGCATACAAATAATTTATGAATAAATCTTCCATGGCCTACCCAAGTACGTTCGGGTGACGCTAACTAGGTAGAAAATCAGAATTTGTAGTGAGGTTATAGAATTGAAATGAGAAACCTATTGGTTTATTTAGGTCTTTTCTACCTTTAGTTGTAATTGTGTTCTTTTGATTTGACAACCCTTTTGTAGGTTGGATCAAACAGTTTTGGAACACCGCAGTGGCATCTCCAAAGATGAAATCTATAATATCAGTGACCTTGCATTCTCTGAAGAATTTGACACATTATGAGGGTAGAGGACTAGAAGTTGTCTTGGTAACCCAAGATCCCACATCGATAGAATGCGGCAAGGTCAGAGTCTAATCTAAGTACCTCTGCTTGGTGCTTCAACCTCACTTGTAGAATTCATTTAAGTGAATTTGGCATATTTTCTTTGTAGTCTTGTAGGATTCGCTTAATCAAATCTTAACTAGATAGTCCAATTATCGCCATAACAGGAGAATATCCTAATCTCAATGTCTCTTTCATAAATTTATTTATATTTGTAAATATTATGTTTTAGGTTTTGATGATGCCAAAATGATAGAAGTACAATAGCATGAAGTTTCTTGAAGATAAACAAGTCAAATGATCAAGTCATGATTATAATAATTAGAAATTAAATCACTTTGTTAAAATGTTTTTATTTATTAAGTTTACTTGCCCTTGTTAAGTTAATCAAAGTTTTAATGTAAGGAAAAATTGATTTGAAAAAAATTTAATTGTTTTATTATTGAAAGAATTGGTTTTTTAATTTGTGAAAATATGAGTATGTTTTTAAAATAAATGTTTGAACGAGAATTAAAAGTGTTTTTAGAAAATAAAAAAAATACATAATTCATGTAATCAATTATCATACCTAGAAATGTGCAAATGAGTATGTTTTTAAAAAAAATACATCTGTTGAAATTAATCTCCATCGATGTATACAAATTTTCTATAAATACTCATTTAACACTTTGTAAAAGTATAAAAAATATATTACAAAAATCATTTTAACAATCATTTTTATTCATTAATCATTTGTTTAATTCTTAACCAAATACACTTGTTTTTTAGAAATCTTCTAATACTTCAATTTGCAATATCTACTCTAATTCCTTTATAGAAATTATAAAAAGAACGGAGAATCTCAAGATGTAAGAATGCTGTGTAGTTGTTAAAAATTATTAGTAAATGTAGGTCACAAGAAGTGATTGAATCGGTATAAACTAAGTTCACATTTTCTCCCCATATCTCTTGACATTTATTACAAGTTTACGTTTCATTATCTTATTTATATTATTAGAACTCTAAATCTCTTGCATCCTCGTCAATCCTGTTAAATTTAATTAAAGTGTGTAAATTAAAAAAAAAAAAAAAAAGTTTGAGAACTCAATTCAGCTCCCTCCTAAGCTCATAGATGCCACTTGGATAACACTAAACTTTTTTAATTGCATTTTGGATAACACCAACCTTATCAATTTGATACACAAACTTAAAAAATATAAATAAAATCATTATTTGGAACTACTCTGTAGTATTATCAGGTCATTTTCCGTAATTCCTCCCCATATTTTAGGTCTCTGCTCTAGAAAATCTGGTGGGCGCTGAAGTAAAATGGTAGCTGCCCTAATTAAGATTGCAGCAGTTATAGCCCATATCACATACTTCTTATTCCCAACCTCATAATCAAAATAATGTACAAGATGCTTCTCTCCCATCCACTCCCTTTCTTCAGCTCTCCTGTTATCATTCTGCATTTCCAACCATGATATAAGAAATTAAGTTCACTTTCAATATGTTAAAAGTACACAGAATTTCCACCAGCAAAAACAAAGTGTACAAAATTTTAAGTGAGAACAGGAACAGTAGCATAAACCTTGAGGAACATCTCCAAAGGAACATCAAATATCTCTTCAACTTCAGCTGAATCTAAAACTGGAGAAAATGCATCCTTGTCGGACAGTATTCCAACCACCGGTATTACTGTCATGCCATACTGCACTTAAAAGCCCCTTTGTAAGGGTACTGATTTATACAAATATTTTAATATTCGGATTGAATCACCAAGGAAAATAATAGACAACTATACAATAGATTGTGAAATTACACTACAAATAGATGGGGTTGGGCCAGGGTAATATGCCTTGACACTCAAAAGTAGCTAGATTTCTATATAATAAGATACTGATATTTGCTCGGTAATTAATAATTAAATACCAAAAGTGAATCTGTGGGAAGTTAGTAAGATAATGTAAAGATGGTAAAATACTGGTATATTCTAGAATTGCTGAACACAACTTATCTTATTAGGAATCTTCAATTTAAAGGAAGCATGTTGATGCCTGAACAAGTACTAAAAGACCATCAAAGTTGGAGCTTGCTGGCAGGGCTGAAGAAGGGCAATTAATCACCTAAGTGTGTTCCGTTCGGGATCTAAGACACGGATCCATGCAATTCATTCGACATATTTACTAAGACATTAGATCAAATGTTTTTTAGACTCTCAAGGAGGAAATATTCCAAGAAATGTTTTGAAGGGGTGTTTGCAGCAGTAAATCTGAGGAATCAGTAACCTAAGTCAAAGTAAATAAAGTTTTATGTAGTGGAGATTCTTTTGGGACAGGATACTAAATCTAACTACATTATATTTGACAGTCACTTCCTATGATGCATTTAAAACTGTAGTAGATTGTGACAGCATAAAATTCTATGGCAACAAATTAGAATAGATAGGAGTAGGAGATCTTCTAAGTTTGGAGTCAATTGAGTGAAGTTCCTGCAGGGAAGGGTCAGTACTGAATTGAAGTCCAGAAAAAAACCTTAGTGTGGAAGGGTTCGAGAATGGTAATAACAGAAACAAGAGAAGAGTCCAAGCCAATCTCCTCCTTAGCTTCTCTCAGCGCCGTTTGAATATCGTCAGCATCGCCTTCTTCTCTCTTGCCACCAGGCAAAGCAACCTCGCCTGCAACCACACGAACCCATTTGAGTAATGGTGACAAAGATGCAAACTTTACGTTAGCACCGGAAAAGAAGATCATAAGGTGGATGAAACGGAAATGGTAGTGACCGGAGTGGGTTGAGAGAGAAGAGGCTCGCAGGGTGAGAAATACTCTCAGCTTCCCGTCGGTACCTTCGAAGAGACAGATCAGAACCGCAGCTCTCTTTCTTGGTTTTGAATTGAAGTTGTTGAGATTATCGGGCACCGTGTTCGAGGATCGGAAGTGATTAAGCAGAGCTTGTAATCTCTCTGAACCTCGTAACTCGTCCCTGTTTGATTTTGAATCCATTCCCTTCTTCCTTCCACTACTCCGTTCTTTTTTCCCTGTTCTAGTTCAATTGTAGTCAATTAATAACGATTTTGGGCTTGATTTTAGTTCCTTCCAGAACAAAAAATTGGTAGGTAAACAATAAAATTTAATCCCAAATATACCTTTTTAATTTAATTTTTTATTAAAATAACTAAACGTTTTTAAATTAATTGTTATCGTTTATAAATGTGTTGATAACAGTATATAAAAATGACAAAAACATAAATTTACTCTAAAGCCTAAAAATACACTTACTTGGAGACTCAAATATAAATTTGTTAAAAAAATATTAAAATATAATAATAGTGTAATAATTTTTTAATGTTAAGTGGCATGTTATTTAAGATAAAAATGACGTAAATCTCTAAAAAAATAATTTATTTTCAATTTTGATTTTTAAGAATTTTTAATTTTAAGATCCTTTCATCTACTTCGTTTCGAACTTATCCATCTCTTTTATTTTCAACTTCACCGATCTAGATTTACTCATTTTGTTGTTAATGCAATCACTGTAATGCCACATTTACACACATCTGCCTTTGATTGCAGCAACAATCATAGCGACATGCTGCTACTGCTTCGTTGAAACTTTTACCGCCTATGACACGTTTCAATTTTTAGATGATCATAGCATAAACTCCAAAGAGATGTTCAAGAACAAGATACAATTTGATCTTTAAAGAACAAAATTAGAGGAGAGAGAAAGAGAAAAAAAAAATTTCTCTCAGCAATAACACAACTTCATGGCCCCTTTGAATCATGCCAAGGAAATAACATTTGAAGAAGGATTCAGGCATTAAAAATTACAATATAATCAGAACATTCAAATAAATTGTAGTATGGCCAATGCTTACGGGTCTTTTCTTACGTCACATCTTAACCTAGCAGTGACTTTAATCTCCTATTCCTATCAATGATGTACCCAACTACAACATATGATAATGTCAAATCACTGCCTACTTTTGAGTCTGCAACTCTCACAATAATTTCTAAATTGAAAAGAGAGTCAGCCCTTGATAATTGACGTAGACAAATTATTTGTCAGCAAATGTTTCTGGTATTCATGATACATCTTCTGAAGTATATTATTATAACTTATTGATGAGATTCTGTAAGCAGGAATGTGAATTCCAATTGCTGGAACACTTTCTTTCTCAGTACATATAAACACCTACTTATTCTTAAATATACAGTTGTGATGACTATTACTGTAGGATCAATAAATATTAAGGACTAAGATACATTAAATAGTAAATTCAATGCATTACAGTATCCTTTGTTAAATCCCGAGGAACCTTGAATATACGGTTCTGCTCCATGAAAGCTGGCGGTCGTTGGTACACAACTGATGCAGCCCTTATCAAGATCCCAGCAGTTAAACCCCATATAAGGTATTTTTTATTTTCGATTTCATAATCAAACAAATGTACCAGATAATTCTCTCCCATCCACTGTATCTTCTCTTGACTCCGATTTTCATCCTGATTCATGCAATGACATTAGACAACTTGAATATGGCTATAAAGAAAGTAGAAAAAACGCTTAATACGTAGATAAAACCAAGAGTTGACCTTGAGAAACATTTCCAAAGGTGCATCAAATACAACTTCTACTTCAGCTGGATTCAGAACAGGTTTGAATGCTTTTCTGTCATGAAGAATGCCGATGACAGGAACCACCCTCATGAGGTACTACAAAAGGGTAAAAAGAAGTTAAAAATAGAAAAGAGATGACTTTTCAAATTAATTCCTAATGGCACATAATTGGAGTGTTGTTTTCAACCACTAGCCAACCAGGTTAATCAAAGTTCTAACAATTCCTTCAACAAGTAGAGAACTAAAAAGAACTAGTAACATACCTTAGAGAAAAATGGTTCAAGAACAGCAACAACATCTACAAGTTCGGGGTCCAACCCAATTTCCTCCATTGCCTCTCTTTTTGCAGTGTGCCCATCATCCTTATCTCCCTCTTCTTCTTTCCCACCAGGCAAGGCTACTTCACCTGCAAAATAATGTGGCATTCGTTCGCTTAAAATCAGCCTTAAGAGATGACTACCATTTTTCTTTTTCTAAAATGTTGTCATATTTAATCTATGAAAATTCAAAATCTTAGAAAAGACAAACCATGATCACATAAATTGTGGTGCATTTTAAATCTTTAAGCAAACAATACTTGTATGAAACTGGACTAACCCGAGTAAGTAGAGAGCTTGGAAGACCGCTTAGTGAGTATCACCCTCAGATCCCCAGCATCCCCTTCAAAGATGCAGATCAAAACAGCAGCTCTCTTGTATCTTAATTTTGCTGTGTTTTGAGCAATTGGAATGGTTGATTCTTGGTAACTCACTTGAGAAACAACCTTCCCTCCATTTTCTTCCATAATTTGATCCAAGATGTCTTCAGGGAATGGAGGGGGCTTATAAAGGCGGAGTCTTTGTGCCAAGGCCAAGAGCCCTTGTGATCCTGCATTGGAGTTTGAAGAACCCATGAACTTGGAGAGAGAAGCTATGATGATAATCTTCTCATGTTAGAAGCCATGAGTGGCAGTTGAGTACATACCATAATACCATAGCATGTGCCTATCATATATGGACTCGTAGAAATTAATGAAAATATGCAGTAGGTTGAAGGGTGGAGGTTCTTTGATTGAATGATTTGAAGGAATAACTGTTTTTGGCAACAAATATTAATTTCTTTGAAGTGGAAAAAGTGCAATATGAATGGCTGCATTTTTTGGTCCTACCCTTCTCCATTCACCACCTTCTTCACTCTCCATTTTCCGATGACAGCTTCACATGTTTGTTGTCCCAAATCCCAATATCACACATTTATGATATACACATGGCACTGAAATTAATCAAACTAATCAAGCAACAAGGAGTTATTGCAATTGCGATTTTTGGGCAAGAAGCTATGGTGCTAAATATTTGGCTTGCCGTTTTCTCCCTGTGGCAGCTTTGGATGATCAAACACGAAATTATGTTAAATGCAGCAAATTGGACAGCTATTGAATGAATTAAGTATGAAGATTATTGTTAGTTTCTCTTGGTACTGCCTCATTAACTTGATATCACATGGTGTGCATTTAACTTCAAAATGCAGAAAGGCTAGTTTTGAGTAATGAGACGATAAGGTCGCTGGTTATCGAAAATTCCGGCTTTTAAATGAAATCTTTCAGGAACTCATCTCATTAGTGCTCTCCAAATTTACATATAATTAATGATCAATAATTTATTTGTAACGTATACCATTGTTAATGTCTCAGTGATCGAATCACTAAGTTAAATAGGATTCTACTCTTTCTTTTTTGAAAAGGAAAGCTATATGATAAAATCTGTCATGTGCATCGGCTAGTTGCACCGTTAAACTTGCCATATGAACTAGGCACACAAGAATAAGAAATGGGATAATTCTTGGACCAAAACGGGAAACTTTTCTATCGAGGCGAAAAGGAGGCCTGGGCCTGGGCCTGGGCCGGTGGGTCATTGGGCGGTGTTTCATTTTATAGGAAATGTAGGCTTTAAATACATGAGTAAAATCTCACTTAATACTTGAATCTTTGAATTTGAATAATTTTTATTTTAGTATTTGATTTTATGAAATATTATTTATTTAATATTTTTTTTAAATTTTTTATTAACATAAAATATTAAGATAATTATTAATTTATAAAGTTAAAAATTGAATTAAAAAATTTATAGCCCAGAAACTAAATTGACTATCACATATAATCTCTTATTAGAGTAAAAGTTTATTTTAGGAGCACGAAAAATAATTTACTTAATATAATTGAATATGTAATTTTAAGTATGTTATCTTCAAATATATATCCTTTAGTTGATGCTCGAAGATTATTCTTTTTTAAAGTAAAGAGATCACTAAAGTGAGTATAGTTTTTTTAATAGTCTTTTTCATATACGGCAAAATATTAAACTCCTGATAACATATTTAAAGGACTTACCTATCTACTAAACACGTTGTTGTTGTTGGTAAAAAAGAAATTAAGTTTAAAGAGGTAGTAGTTTGACAAGAGTTTTTATTCTATTTTTGGAGCATTTATTACAGTGAAACACAGTAACGTTTTTTAAGTCGGTTGATTTTTTTCTTTTAAACAAGAATTGCTTATGCAAACAAATGTTTCTTAAATTTGGTTGCCATCTCAATACAAACGTTTCTTAAGATAGAATTGCGTTTTACAACCATTGCTTAATCATAAAAGCAATTAAGGAAATGCGTTTTAGAAAAGCTAGTTGGGACCATGTAGATGATTACTAGTTTACCAAGCATTAAAACCCCGCTTTGAATTATGAACGACTATGGGAAAAAAATTCAAATCACCTTCGCCTACTACAATTAGTAAGATACTCTCTCTGCACCCAACACCATCACGTACCAGTCAGTTGTTACTAAGCATCTCATAATTGTTACTATGTCTCATTTAAAATAGTTTATGATTTAAAAGAGTTTATAAAATACTTATAAAATTAATTTAGAATTTTGTCAAATTCTTCTCTTCTTAATACTGAAAATTAGGTAAGATATTGAGATGTAAGAAATGATACAAAAAAAAAACATTGAGTAAAATACGTTTTAAAGGGGCTCTATCAAAATCTTGAGGTAAAGTACAGTTAAAGAAAGATTTATAAATTTGTTAAAAGTAGAGAAAAAAATCTAAATATTTAGATTAAGATAAATATATTATAAGATAAAAAAAAAGTTTTTATTTTAAATCAAGATATCAAAGAAAGATAAAATAAATATTTTTATAAATTTTTAAATGATAGACAAAGATTAAATAGAAATATAGCAAGATTATAAGTACAGGCTAATAATCTAAATTTGGTATATTACCGTAAGATTTGAGTTAGAAAAGTAAAAGAAGTTCTTAAGAAAATGAAGAATGTTAAAGCAGTTGACTCCAATAATATTCTTATGGAAGTTTGAAAAATTTTAAAAAAATAAAAACTAGAGTGACTCACTAAGCTCTTTAATGATATTTTGAGATCTAAAAATATGTTAGGTGAATGGAGGAAGAATATTATGGTTTCTATATACAAGAACAAAGTGATATCCAAAATTGTGCAAGTTATAGAAGAATTAAATTTATCAGTCACATTATGAATTACGAAGTTGTGGAAAAAAGGTAATTAAACATAGAATACTAGAGAAAACTAAGGTTCCAAAAAAATAATTTAATTTTATGCTAGAAAAGTCTGCTACAAAAGTTATATATCTTTCACAAAAGATGATGAAAAAATTTTATTACAAAGAAAAAAATTTACACATAATTTTCATTGATTTAGAATAAGATATATGATCAGGTATCAAGAAAAGTTCTATAAAAAGATTTAAAAAAGAAAAGGTCTGTGTAGTATATATTCGAATTATACAAAATATGTATGAAGGGGTAACTATATGTGTGAGAACTTTTGAAAGTATATTTAAAGACTTTCCAATTAGAATAAGTTTGCATCAAGGTTCTACTTTGAACCCTTACTTGTCTTAAAAGTATTTATAAATGACATACAAAAAAATTATCCCTCAATGCATACTCTTTATAGATAATATAGTGTTAGTTGAGGATTTGAAAAAAAAGATTAATGTTAACTTGATTTATAGAAAGAGACTTTAGAATTAAAGAGTTGTTGCTTGAGTAGAAGTAAGATAAAGTAATGTATAGTAGGTTTAGTAAAAAAAACAAAATAATGATCATGCATTGGAAATTAAAATTGAAAATGATATTATGCCACAAGTGTTCAATTTCAAATACTTCGAAGCGATTATACATAATAATGTAAAAGTTAATGAAGAAATTACTCAAAGAATGCAAACTTGATGGTTAAAGTGAAAAAAAGCCATTCAAAGTAATTTGTAACTGTAAAATACTTATTAAGTTAAAAGAAAAGTTTCACAGTACTACAATACGACCAACTATCTTATATGGTAGTGAATGTTAGACTTTAAAAAAGTAATACAAAGAGAAAGAGAATAACATAAATAAAAATGTTAAGGTGGATAAGTGTGCACACGAGAAAAAATAAGATACAAAATGACAATATATGAGAAAATATTAAAATAACACTTATACTGAAAAAGATAAGATAACGAAAAATTGTTTAAGATAATTTAGTCATATGTAGTTGTGGAGAGGACTTTTTAAAACATCTATTAACGAAAGTGAATTGCATGACTTTTAATCTAATAAAAATAATTGAAAAAAATTTAAAAAAACCTTAAATAAAGTTATTAAAAAAAACATTTTAATTAACTAAATTTCTAAAAAATTTGTTTTTGTACAAGTTTTTCTAAATAAACTCTTTAATTTCCTTTAAAAAAATTATTGTATAAGTATTTGTCTAATAATAATTTATTAAATAAATGTTTAATTAGATTGTATTTTTAAACACATCCTAAACATGTATTTGAAATTATCTTCATAACTTTTCGCGAGAATTGAAAGAAAAAAAAATTCCCTTAAAAAATAAATCAATCATGTCATAAGTCTTCAGTAAAACTAAATTTTACAATTGCCTAGTCCGGGACAGGTTACTAAACTAAATAATGGTGTTACGAATGATTTGTCTAAATATCTGAGCTGCCTGACCAGGGGAGTGATCAATGAGAAAATAACATTCTAGCTAGATAAAACGGTTGAAAAAAATATGTATTATTGATTAACATATAAATGGAACAGAAATATTAGCAAGTTGCACAAGCCATCTCAAAATGGTAATAATAAACCATAAAAATCAACATGATCACATCTTGGCAATTTTCTATTACAGTAGAAGGGGAAAAATATAGAAACTGTTCTATCTACACTCTGTCCCATGGTTGAATATACAAATTGAAAAAGATGATAAACAGAAGCAATCAATATATCACACTCACATGCTGACCTGTTCTCTACAGTGGTTTGAATTTCAGTCACGCTCATATGCACAAATTGGAAGCAATCCAATAAATAAATAAGTTGGCTTCTTAGTTGACTTTTTTATAGACTGTAACCAATTGAAAATCGATTTGACTCAGCTCAGCTCAACTCAAGCAATCAATTTGACTTTTTATACTTAAAATTGTGCTCTATCTTGGCAACCATGTTGAGGACTCATTGCACTCCTTCTTGAACCACAGATTTTTCTGTTGTTGGATAAGACAATCTCCTAGCTTTTAAAGCCCCTTTTGCATTGCCCAAAGGAGGAGTTCCTTTACCATTGGCTGAAGTAGGTTTAACTGAAAGAGGGGTTTTAGGTGTTGATGATGTGCTCTTATCCTTCTGAACCTTGCTTGACTGCTTGTGTGGAGCTTTCTTAATGGAACTGGAGACACGGCTTTCCCATGGCCGAGCAGCAATCCAACGCTCCTTCCAGCTCCAACCCCAATTAGCTTTGCTAAGTTCATAATTACCTAGCAATTGGCTCTGACTGGAGTTGGCCCTCCACTATGATTCATAAGATATGCGTGTGATTTTCAGTAGGATCAGGTGAAGCAAGATAATAAGACATTCCTAGGATTAACCTACCTGATGGGAAAAGGCATATGCCATGGCTCTTTCACGCTTAACTGCTGCTTCTTCCCTTTGATGTATCCTTCCAAGGATTTCCTCCATAGTTTCAGAACCACCACACCATTCAACCTGTAATTCATGCTGTCTAGTGCTCAGAACAAGATTAACTGAATTGAATACAAACAAGCTCAAGCATCTAGCAAAATCAATATTAATCATCCAATGATAAAAGATTTCATGTTCTAACCTCAGCAATTGATTTCTATAGCGTACGCATATCTAATGCATACTTCAGCAAACAATTAAACTGTAGAGAATAGAAAAGGCAGATCCCGGCACCCATAAAGTTCCTAGAAATGCATCTAGTAATTTATAACAAAATATGAAAGGACCACCGCTTTAAAACCAAAACCAAGGCTCTAGATAACTAAAATAGCAATGGATCTCACAAAAAAAGAAAAACAGATAAAAATGCAGATTCAGTTAGAGGGATTGCATGCAAAGAAAATATTTTAGAATTTTTAACGCAGAAGCAAATAGAGAGAAAATTACTGCAGACTAGATATTACCTCCAGATCATGAAGCTTTGCCTCAAGTTTTAGTTGAGACTCTAGTTTCTTCCGCCTGATCCTGTCTTCTGTTACCATACAGATGCGGCGAGCTCTAATCTCAGACTGTATTTTGCTCCATGAATGAAGGTACGTTATAGCTGTACTGGCTTGCTTTTTAACAGAGTAACCATCTGTTAGGATCTTCAGTTTTGTGAACCCTTTCAAGCGACCTAGAGCTTTTCTAGCCTGGACAATTTAAAATTAGAGTTGCAACATAAACACCAGTAGAAGATATGATTTGAACCATAGTATATAAGTTACTCAAACCTACATCTACATCTCTCATCTATAATTAGTCTATAAACATCAATGACATGTATATTGAATATTAAGACAATAATCAAGAGTCAACACATAAAACCTGTTAAAAGAAGTCTCACACTGTATGATTTCTCTCTTAAGCAGCCAATTTTGTTAATTCTGTTAGTAGGGATTATCAAATCGTTAACAAGCAGAAATGAGTCTCAAATAAAAGGTGGCTTTCAAGAGAATAGTCAAAGATTTACCAATTCATGCTTATCTTGAAGAATTATATAGCATCCAACTATAATTAATCAATTGGGAAAAAGTGTCAATATAGAGAGATAAAACATCACTCTTTGCTCATAAACAATGGCAGAATCCAAAAATCCAATTTTAATATAACAATATCAAGAAGAATCTCCATATTAGGTATTAGAGCTCCTAATACAGTCAACATGAGTTTTGTAAAATGGTGAAAAAAGGGGTCAATTGCACTTTGGCAGCTGATGTGTTTGTCTAATTAACACTTCAGCAATTAATTCATAAAAGTAAGAATGCTGCAAATAGATTATAATGACATTTTGCAATGTCCTTCCCATCATCCAATATTGTATATATATCTCTTGAATGGTACAATGTAAATATAAAAGAAACACTGGAATTTAATATCATAGTATTATGTACACTCAGCAATATTTTTTTATATAAAAACCTCAGTAATCATATACCCCTCTAAAATACAATCTGAAAGCTGGCATACCACCAATAATGGTAAAATAGTGCATAAAGAAGTATGATTGCTAAGGACATGATCACTCAAAAATGTTAGACTAGAGTTATCCTGTACAAAAACTGAAAAAGAATCTGTCACTGCAATTTTTTTCAAATAAACATACCTTATAAGCTCGGAATGCAGTCTGGATCCTTGTTGCAGCAACTGTTTCAATTGATACCCCAGCTGATACAAGGCTTTCACTTTTAGTACCATTTGCTAAACCATTAGACTCTTTTCTTGTACAATTGTTTGATTTGGACGCATTTACTTTCTTGGGAGCTAAGATACCCTGTCTCCAATGTTGCCAGACATAGAGATAGAAACATTTTGGTTACAATGGCTTTCATGCAAAATAAATTATAATATTTGATAATAAGTAGTATTATTGCAGCTAAATGATTAACAAAATAAATAAGTTGTTATAATTTATAAACAACATCTACTGTGCGGCTGTTCCTCATGTGCATCACTGTGCCATACTATGAATTTTTTTTAATTTTACCTTTAATCAGTCCTGTCTAAAAAATAATTACATTAGTTTAAAGGCACATGGCAGTAAGAAATCTTGAATCACTTCATGAATTATAGAAGGCTTCTAAACTAACTTCCTCTTTTTTTTATGCCAACAAAGTAATGGACAAAGTGTTGGTCATTTTACTTCTGGACAAGGACTAATTGTTCGTTTGTTTTGGATTTTAGTAAAATTGATTTTGAACTGTTGATGGATGAGTGTCTAAATGAATTTGAGCCTCAGGTTTTACATTAAAACGTGTATCATGGTGTGAGAAATTGATTTTGAACTTCAACCAAACAGGCAGAGTTGGGTCTAGAGTCAACTTACTACAGTTTTCTCCTTATAGAGAATGAGAATTGTGGTTATAATAAGACATACCAGTATACCATATGATTAAGAATTTAAGATGAATGGCAACAAAAACTCAAAGACTAATTCAATTTAATAGGAAAGTAGTGGAGATAGAGAGGCTTAAAACCTAAGTTTGACACTAAAGGTATTTTGGGAGAGGGATTTTGGAAGAGAAGGACATATTTTTTAATTTTAAATTAAGATAATTATAAATCATTTATGATAATAAATCCATGATCAATACATTAAGTTTATGTTAATATATCAATTTATATTTTTTAATTTAAAAAAATATAATTTTAAATATATTAATTTAAAATAAAAAAAATTGCTCTCCCTCTAAAACCTTCCTTCCTTTTTGATGATAAATATATTTATTGGAAGAAAAGGGAGAAAATGACATTTAAAATTTTAAATTATGAGAATTATATATCATTTATGATGATAAATACATTAAATTTATATTAAACTATCATTTTATATCTTTTATTTTGAAAATTTATTAAATTAAAATATATTTATTTAAAATAAAAAAATCTCCCTCCCCTCCCTTTCCCTCCTCCAAAATCTTCCTTCCCAAACAGCCCCTAAAGCAATTCAACCCCCACAAGGATTAGATAAATAAACTAAAAAGACAGGAAGTTAATAGTACCTTTGCTTTCTTTGATCTGCCTCCTTTTGATTTTCCTAAGCTAATAATTGTCTTAAACCAATCACCTGAACCCATTCTTGATGAGAAGTAGCTTTTTTCAAATCAACATAGCCTGGAAATATTTTTAAAAATATAACAAACATTAGCATATTACTGATAAATACATATTTAGTACATCGTTCTTACTTCTTAATCAAAGAGATCTGTAAGAAGAAGAAGCAGATAGTTTTGAAGTTCCTGTCCCCATTGTCAGTCTTTTTCTTTATTTAAATAATTAAATGAAAGCCTTAGACAGTTATTTCTTCAAGTATGAGTCTCTGTAGGAATACATGCTTTTAAAAGCTTGATAAAGAAACTCTCGTGTAAGTTGTTTGTGACCAATCCAATGTATATTACATGCAACAAATGAAAGCTTATGCTGTTACAGTTGATACCAAAAAAGCAACTGGTTTTTTCTTCCCAACAATAACACCAAGTCAACGGAAACTTACAAGACAAATTAAAACAAACTTATACTGTGATCCACCAAAAACACTAAAAAAAATGAAAACTTATAGTTGTTTAAAACAACACAAAGCATTATCTTCCGCCAAAAACTCATAACATGATCTACCAAAACAGAACACAAAAATATGGATCAACAACTCAACTGCTGAAAAACAAAGAATGAATATGCTCAATTACATAGCAAGCAGACCAATATGTGGCAGCAAAAAAAAAAGTCCAAGTAGCTATCAAGCGAATAAATGTAAACCCACATGCAAATGAGTTTTCCCAGAATCACACAAAAAGAAACAACAATACAAATTGGGGTGAGAAATGAGAAAGACACATACCAGACTCAGAGAAGGTCCAAAGGAGACCCTTTTCTTTATTTTCCTGAAGTGGGCAATCGAGAAATGAGGGGTGGGAAAATGATATATTAGAGAAGAAGTAAAGAGGAAGAAAAGAAGAAAAGGGACGGAGAGAGAGTCAGCAAAAGAATAAAAGGTGGGTGTGAAATGTGGATTGCCATGGCCCAATACCAGCTTTAATCCTCTCAAGACGTCCAAGGTGAGAGAGAAAGTCCAAAAATGAAATTAAACTAAAAGACTTTATTTTATAGTTTAATTAAAATATATTATAAATAAATTTGTTATATTTATTATTATTAAAAGTAACAATTTTGTTAATATAACAATATATTAAACTAAATTCTTATTTTATCTGTGTGAAAGTTGAGACCGAGGAATACACACATACAAAGGGGGCCAGCGTAGTTTAGTCCTGTTCCCGAGTATCGTAATTTTGCGCAGTTGGTTGAATTTTTGGCCTACAATGACAGCAGAACAAATTGTTCCTTTTTTTTTTTATGCTGACTCCTTCCCCTTTTGCGTTTTCTTTTTCTTAATCCCTCTTCAAATATTATTCGGATAAGCAAAGATTATTAAAGTTTTTTTTGTTAATTATAGGATTTTTAAGAGTATTAATAAAGAAATACTAAAAAAAGATATTAAATTTTTTAGAGAATTTTATTAGAAAGTTAGTTAGTAATTTTCTAAAATTTATCAATCCGTATTTTAAAGGTATTTATTAATATTTTAAAGTAGTTTTATCATTTTTAACAAATATTTTATCACACGTCAAAAAAATTTAGATACTCGACTATGTATAATCATATATCATACTCGTTATGGAGAGGAAAACTCTTGTTCAAATAAGAAACATGCATGATATATGAAGGTTAATTTTTTCGACAGACAAGGATTCAAACTTAAAACTTAAAAACAAACTAATTTTTATTAATTAAATTAATCGTTTGTTAATAGAAATTTAATTATGTGAACTAAATTTTGTTAATTTGATTTCTAATCTTTTCAATTTTCATTCTTTTTCTTTACATTTCAATATTTGGTTAAAAAAATTGTAAAATTCAAACTTAGGACCTTCCTCGAGGGAATCAAGTAATTTTTTTTTTTGGTTACATAGACCAAAATGTCTACGCCTTTTTATTACATTTATTTACGTCCTATTGTTTAAAGAAAAAGAGAGTAAATATCAAAGAGAACACTAATAATAATAATAAAAAAAAAAAGATAGTGTGCGAGAATTTAATAATTTATATTATAAAAATATGTAACAAAAATAATATAAAAACTTTTCGGTATAGTTTGTGGTTAATCAATATACATTTGCATTTGCAAGAGAGGTTTTGTTTTTAATTATCGCAAATTTGATGGGACGAGTGTATGAAATACAGGGAAAGAGAGAGGATCCGCGACTATGTTATCTGCGATGACGAGGTCATGGTTTGTTGAGCGATCATCTGGTACAGGCAAGTGTATTAAATCCTTAAATTAAGGTTCTGACGTGGAGGGTTGTGGCCGTTGGTCAGTAATGAACACATGACAGATAGATATACGCGTGGTTGATGATTGTTTCTGGTACAGTGCTACCTACTGTGTTTCAGTGGGGTCATCTGATGTGTCGTCCATAATTCGTAGACAAAAATTATAAATTTAATAATATCATATTTTAATATTAGTTTGGTTGGTCCCGGCAAGGCTCGAACTCGCGACCTTCGGCTCATAAGACCAACGCTCTAACCAACTGAGCTACGGGACCGATTTATTCATGTAAATAATGTTTAAAATTTTAGTTTATAAGGTAGTGTTCTGACCTTTTAATGTTATATTTATTGATTATCGGATTGGATTAAGATCAACACTATATATATCCAGCCTATTTTATTTTTTACTTTTACTTATTTCTTCTTGTTAAAATTAATTTTATTATGACTAATATTATCACTTTTAAAATCATCATTGAGTAGTCATATAATATTTAACTTTTAGATTCTCATATTTTTTATTTATAATTTTTTTTATCATAACAGAATCGTAAAATTATTTAAATTTTTAACAATTTTTCTACGCTTTTTAATTTATTCTTAATATATGAAGTTCATATAATTAAATATAATTTCCAAGGTCCATTACTAAATAAGTGGATGATAAGAAATCTCATTATTCATACAAAATTGTCAAGAAAACAAAATTCACGAGTCAATCAAGGTTAAAAATTTAAATATCACATAAAAGACGAGCATTAAGCTATTATTCACAATGCATATCATGCTATCTTTTATTGTTTCTCTTTTGTTGTCTCTCATTATTTACTAACCCTAGAGAAAAAGGATTGTATTTTGCAAATAACAAGTTTTCCAGAGAGTTTTAAATGTGAGCTTACAAACTATCTTTTGCTTTTAAAATGATAAAAAAAAAATCAATTTCTTTTATTGTCAGAACTTTAATATTTCTTGCGCTTCCTCTATTTCTTATAATTTTTAAAAATAATTCATAAATTTTAAAAGTCTTTAAGTATATAATTCAACTCTTTTTTATTATATTTTGTATATTTTCCTTTTGTCATCAACACAATATCTTTCTCAAAGAAGATATAGGAAAGTTTGGGTCCTCCATAATCCATAGATTGAAGAAGGATGCCAATCATCAAGTTGCATAGAATTTATCTAATGTAATGTATCAATCTTATGTATACATAATACAGATAAAAATATATATATATAAACGAGAGGAATAAACGTCAACAAATATAAAATAGTTATAGAAATGTCATACAATAATAATAATAATAAAGATTCGTGTGTTTATTGGAGTAGTAGAAATGAAGTTGAATTACACGGTGAATTTGCATGTAGAAGAAAAGTAACGATCATATTCACTCACTTTCAATTGATAAAAAAAAGTCATTGCCTGCAAGACTCAACATAGGTTCCCTAATCCTTCCGCAACAAGAACATAGAAATTGAGCAGAAATGTCATTCGCATAAACTCATACCTACTTTGGTTATGGTTGGGAATGGGACCTGATGAGTCACCTTCAAACGCAAAGTAATGACATAATTGTAATAGCTTTCAGTTTTTCCTTCTCTTAATTAAACAACATAACCCTTTCATCAATAGCTTCTTGAGAAGGTTATCCACTGGATACCTGTCATTTTTAAATTTCTTATCCTTTCTATATTCCATAAGTGGCCCTAGGCATAGTCACATAAACATGACATTTGACCGTTCCACCACAGCCTTTATTCACAAGATTATTATTATTATTATTACTATTATTATTATATGAAGTAAATTCAGATTTCAAATTTTGAAAATTTTAGTGTCGTTAATATTAATATTGTTTTTTTTACTATTAAGTACGATATAATAATTTTTTTTATCAATTGATTCACATTCTAGATATTGTTAATATTAATATTTAAATATAAAATAAATTTTAAATTATTTAAAAAATAAAAGTTTGAATAATTTTTGTTTTTTAACATTAATTTAATTTTTAAAAAAGATTAAATATTTTTTTACCTTTTAAAATATATTTTTTTAAATTTTTTTAGAAACTAACAGGATTAGTCTCAAATCTGTGGAGAACCAAATTTTTTGATTAATCTTGAGTTTTAATATAACATATTTTCATTTAGTTTAATTATATATTTTATTTTTTTAGGTGTGAAATGTGCATGATTATAATATTTTAATTTTTTATTGAATTATTTATTATTTTTAGAATTAGAAAATTGGTTTTACCATTTCTTTCTTTCTAAAGCTCCTCTTTTTAAAATAATTACAAATTAAATAATTTGAATTAATTTTTTATGAAAAATACACTAATCAAAATATCTATTTTTACAAAAAAAAAATAATCAGATTCTTTCCTTTTTCATATCTTAATATCATATTTTATAATTTTTTTAAAAAAATTTGTTAATTACAGTTCTAACCGATGCATGATTTTAATCTCTACGTTATGATTACTTGCATCTATTTTTATAACTTAATAATTAAAAGTAAGTCACTCTAATTTTTTTAATTTAATAATTAATAAAAATATCACGTGAGATTACATTGTTTAAATTGAAAAAAAAATAATTCAATTTTAATAGATTCGGCCCAGCCCATTGATCACCCAGTTTGTTTTGCTGATTCTCCTTGATATTGAAACTCAATATTAGTTTCATGACATTTGATTAATCCCCATTTTATGCGACGTACCATATAATTCTTTTTTATTTTCCTTTTAAATTTGACTCTTATTAATCAGTCTCATAAGATTATACTTTTCTTTTATTAAAAATCATTATAAAAATATATTAAAATTTATGATAAGAGTATTTATTATTTTTTAAAAAATTTTAACTAGTACCGTCAAAATACTGTTAGCATTTCCTTTTAAATGTCAATATGCATGAAATTTATTGAAACTCTCTAAAATGCTGCAATTATAATTTGTATGTTGGTGTAGAATGAAAGTATATAGTTATTAGATTCAGTCAACGATTAAAATGGTCCTTCCTGTTTTTTTTTTTTAGTCTATTTAAACATCACAAGTTTTTTATTTAATTTTTCATTTTATAGAGACTAAATAAAAAAATTTATGATATTTTTAAAGATCATATAAAAAAATCTTAAAATGACCATTTGATTAAAAATATATATTATGTAAGATTTATTTAAAAAATAAAAAATAAGGGATAAAAGACAAAATATTTAAATTTTTAAGAAACATTTATAAAGAAATACAACTTCAGTGATAGCAAAATTTATGAAAGTGCAAAATAAGTCTAAATCTAAACAAAATTTCTTCACTGCAATTAGCGAGAAGTTTACAATTGTCCCCATAGATCAACGACTCTACATACACAAGAAAACCACTTGTCATGCCAAAGTCAATGACATTGACGGATACGAAATTAAGATTCAAATGAAAGGGTTCCATTTTCGCGTCTAATTAATCTTTTTTTTCTTCAACCCACCAAACCGACCAATAATTCCCATTTCAAGCCCGGCAATATATTGCGAATAAACAAAATTAATTAACGAAAAGCATTTCATTCATCGATCGCATTGAAATCAAGCAATGGGGTCTGAAGATAAACATGGTGAGCAATCCCTTGGTATAGGCCTTAAGGTCATGCTAACAGCAGCTTTCTCTTTATTTGGTATGATATTATTCATCATCACCTTCTATTTTTGTCTAAAACATCACATTAGACGCCAACAAAGACGACGCCAAAACGACCTTGTTTATCAAATCAGCACTCAAATTGCACCAATTGATGTGAGTTCTGTGGAGTCACCCAACTCTGGCCTAAACCCTTTGATCATAGCCTCTTTGCCTAAACTCTTGTACAAGCAAACGGATCAGTTCAATGAAGGCGAAGTTATAGAGTGCTCGGTTTGCTTAGGAACTATTGTTGAAGATGCAATTACTAGGGTACTACCAAATTGTAAGCACATTTTTCATGTTGATTGTGTTGATAAATGGTTTAGTTCTAACACCACATGCCCAATTTGCCGCACTATGGTTGAACCAAAGGTGCAGGCAGCGCATGATCATTTAGCCATACGGGTCCATCAAGTCCAACCCACAGCACCATCGGTTGACGGTGGTGATGATGCCCAAGATGGTAATGAATTGGAGGTTGGGTGTTCGGGTTTGAGAATAGGATCTTTTCATAGGTTGGTTAGTAATAGGGAAAGGTCAGTGAGAAGGACTCATAGCTCTGATGAGTTTGCCGTAGAATATATGGAAAGGCACTAAATTAAGCAGTGACCATGTTTTCATATATATGATAGATTTCTCCTTGCTTTTGGATGTACCTTAGTTTGAATTATTATTGATTTGTTTTTGGTGTTCCTTGTTGGGATTGTTTACCATTTGTCAATACTCTGTAATTTGCATTTCTGTTTGTTGTTAGCGGACAAAATAGTATATTTGAATTTTGATAGATTGGTCCTGTTTTAATTGATTTTGAGAATATGAAATAGTAGAACTGATAATATGGGTAGATGTAACTATTGATTTGATTTATTTAAGTACAAAATGTTAGTTCAGAACTTGAATTCCTATTTCATAGTTAAAATAAGAAGATAATTTTTAAGGTTCGAATCTAGATAAATTATAATAATAAAAATAACAAAGATAAAATCTTGAGCATCACTATGACTTTGTTTAAGTAAACTTTTTGAGAAAATTTTACATATAAAAAAATTAGTATAAAAATAAAAAAATTATAAGTTAAAAAATAATTTATACTTCTTAATTTTTTAAAAATTTTGAAATACTTTCTCATTTAACTTCTTTAAAATTTAAAGAAATAAATTATTTTTAACCAATAAAAAATTTTAATTCATTTTTTGGATTAATTTTTTCTATAAAAGTTTATTTACGAATTAATCCAAATAGGTCTATGTCAACTCGAACTTCTAAAAAATATTATTTATTTTTATTTCAGTTTTTAATACAAGAATATTATTTATTTTTACTATTTTTATACAAATTTTAAAAATAAAAGTGGTACTTTTATAATTTAAAATAAAAATCAAAATATTTTCTTAACTATTTTCAAATATCCAATAATTAACACTCAATTTTGTAAACAATCTAGATGCTTTTAAATTCAGTTCTAAGATAACATCTTGGTATAAAAGACACCTCCTAAAAAATGCGAACGTTAGTAGCTACAAAATTTATTCAGCTTCAAAGACGCTTTCTTTAGGGACTTACAGAAGGAAAGAATAAGATCTCACGGGTCAAGAATGGGCTAAAGATTTGTCTTCCAAAGGCTTCAAGTGGTCTAGAGATGAAAAGTATTGAGGTTTAACATCAGTTTACTTGGGTAGACCAAACAAAAAAAAAATAAAAAAAACTCAATTTTCTTGTTTTTGACAAAAAAAAACCCTCAATTTACTCTTTGACAAAAAAAAACCACCTCCATTTACTTTGTGCTTTAATTTGTGCACTACTATATCGGGTGGCCTTGTTTGGACTGGAGTGTCTCCCTAGCCTACACCTTTTACGCAGAAATAAAACAACCCTAAAAAATAGGAGAAATTTGTCTATAATTTGAGGCGACACTATATAGGCTTAACTATAATTATAGAAAAATAGACTTAACATCATGAAGTTTAAAGTTAAAATTCTTTTTATTTATAAGAGTGATGTAACATATTTTATGTTTATATTTAATTTTTTATTTTGACTAATAAATACTTTTTATATAATTTATTTTTATAATTTTTATATTTTTTACTTATTTGAATAAATTAGGCCTATTACAAATAAATACTTTAATTTTATATTTTTAGTTATTTTGACTTCTGACTACTCTTTTATCTATAACTTTTTCTACATATATTATTTTTGACTGATTTTTGTTGCATTGGATTCTACACATGTAGGGCTTCAAAATGCATATATGGATTGCTAAATTTGAAAATGTTTTTGATTTTTTATGATTTTTTAAAGTTGAAGCAGATTTGCTGAATATTATTGCATAATTGCATTTGGACCCTTGTTATTTAAATTGTATTTGGGCTTTTTAGATATTATTGAGGTCCGCATTTTGGCCATTTAATTTACCCTAATTAGAACTTATAAATAGACTATTAAGGTTTTAAATTAAGGGAAGGGTGATTAGACACTTTGAGATTTTGAGACTTGGTCAAAATAATAATATTTGTTTTTACTTTCTCTCAAACTCTCTTGTTCTTTTCTTATTCTTGCGTGGGTTAAGCTTTTCGATGAAAAGCTAAGCATCTCATTTAATCTGCAAAATTCAAACGCCATAACTCTGACTTGAGTTTTGCGCTAAATTGTTACGAGTTTGTTCTCTTTTCTCTCTAATTCTCTTTTCTCTCTAATATCATAATTGTGTATTGCGATTGTAATTGACTTTTCTGTTGTTAGAATTCAAATTAGAACTCGATTGATACTCTGATTTGATAATTAATGCATATTAGGTTAAATGATTATTTGATTTAATTCGTAATACTATTCAATTAGGATATTCGATTGAATTAATAATTGAATTGAGTAATTGTTCAAACACAGATTTAAATCTATAGATACTGTGATAGCCGAAGTTACACACAATTGGTATTCTGTGGATTGATGTTTCTTAATTTATTTTTACTCACTTTACTATTCGTAATTTAATTTAATTAATTTATAATTTTCAAAACCTCAAAAAACCTTATTTGCATTCTTTAAAACAAAACCTAAAATTGAATTTGACTAAAAATGTGTCTTCGTGAATCGACCTAAGTTTGGCTCTATACTACAAAAACTTTAGAAAACTTAGTTGTTTTGATAGCGACTTGGCATCGTCTATCAAATTAGCTCTGTTGCCGGGGACGCGTTGTCGATTTTGGTTCATTTTAGGGTTTAGTATTGCGTTTTCACTTTCTAATTCGTAATTTTATTTTTGTCTTTGTTTCGTTTATGTCTCTGTTGCTGAGATTTGGTATTCTTATTTGTTCGTTTTATAGGGTGTGTTTAATTTCAATTTTCGTCACTTTGTTTTTGTTTCCTTAAATTTTGTTGTTTTAGTGCATTTTGAATTTTAAATTTTGAATTTTAGATTATTTTTATGAATTTTTAATTTTGAATTTTAGATTTAGATTTTATATTTTTTAAATATTGGATTAATAGTGTATTGTTGCAAAATTGTTTGATTTGCAGATATTTTGTGTAGATCTTGCAGAGATAAGAAGCAACAAATAAGGATCCCTAAGATTTAGTTTAGATTCGGTTTTAAAAAAATTTAATTTAAATTTTAAATTATTTTTAATTTAAATTTTAAATTATAGTTAAGATTTAATATTTGTTTATTGGGAGAAAGTATTTCTTTATCTTCAAACTAGTTTGAAAAGGGTGTAAGAAACAAAAAATGAAAATTCAACCTCTTTTGGGAGCATTTCTAGCTTGGTAGTACAACTATAAGAAACTTGTTCCAAAGATGTTCATGGTGTCTAAAGACAAGTTTAATGTCTCTATGGCTGATATAAGTGTTCGGAATAATGGCCAGTGAAATGAAAGTTGAGGTGGTAATGCCAATTGTTCACTTGCGAAAATGTGTTGATTTGATGAATTTCTTAGTTCTAATAACTCTGTCCTTTTGTGCTATAGATAAATAGTATTGAATCTATTACAACATTAGTCATATCTTCCAAAATCTGCGTATTTAGTTTTAAAAAATAAATTTCAATAGCTGCCACAAAGATCTGATCACGAACAACAAGTTTTAAAGGAGTTATGGAGATGCTTTGTCTCACAAAGTCATGATTTTTAGTTGGTAAGTGTTGGAAATAATATAATTATATTTCAAAAGAATTTATTAATTATTAATTTTATTTTATTTTTCTAATTTTATCATTATTATTATTATTATTATTATTATTATTATTATTATTATTATTATTATTATTATTATCTTCATTTATATGTAACGTTTATATAAACAATTATAGTGATTAAAGTATTTTAAATCTTTTGAGAAAATTGTACGAAATCGCACAAACTTTTTATTATATTTATCTCTCTAAGTTATGAGTTGAGTGAAGCTTGCTAGTTCTTGAGAGCCTTGTATATTCAGACAAAAAAAGTCTATTGTATCATGGAAGATTTTCTACTACACCAAAATAATCCTTAAGGACTGTGTTCTACATGCCTCAGACTAAATTATTGATCAGCTACTTTGGGTCATTTTGACAACAATCTTAAGGATTATGGCTGAATCAATAAATAATGAAAATCCTATTAACAACGCTGCAAATAACCATGAAAATAGTATCAACGTAGATCCACCTAATCCAATTATTCTTACAGTCAACTATGTAAAACATTTCCCAGACGTGTCAAAGATAGAAATGTTTCAAGGAAAAAATTTTAAACGATGGCAGGAGTGTGTCTATTCTGTTCTTGATCTGCACGACGTAGCTCATGCTCTCGCGCAACTGAAACCAGATTCAAATGCTACCCCAAAATTATTCGAAGACTAGATTTCTACTAACAAGGTTTATAGACATACTATTCTCAGTATATTGTCTAATGAATTGTTTGATGTCTATTGTTTCTATAAGGAAACTACAAAATTTGGGAGTCTCTGATTCTCAAATATACTGTTGAGGATGCCAAAAGAAAGAAGTTCATCATCAGACACTATTATAAGTGGGAGATGAACGATGAAGAAGATATCAAGACTCAGATCAATGAATACCACAAGCTGTTAGAAGACATGAAAGCTGAGAAGATCACACTGCCTGAGAATTTTGTCGCTGGACTACTAATTGAAAAATTATCATAATTTTGGAAGGATTATAAGCAACAACTAAAGTATAAGAATAAATCGTTGTCTCTAGCTGAACTTATCACCCACATTATCATTGAGGACACAAATAAGAAGGAACTCAAGGTTGCAAGGGTAAAGGCATTGGCATCAAGGGCAAACATGATACAAACTATAAGAAAAAGCACGACAACAAACCTAATCAAAAGTGTCATTATAATAAACCTTATGTCCCAAAGGTGAATAATCTCACTTTTAAAATTGGTGGAGGAAATTGTTTTTTTTGTGGCAAAATAGGTTATCGTGCTGCTCAATGCAAACACAGAAAGAGAAGTGATAATCCTCCAAAACTAAATGCAAATTTGGTTGAAGGAGATGACGTTACAGTTGCGGTCATTTTTTAAGCCTTGGTAATGGCTAATGTGAGTGATTAGGTGATAGACTCTAGAGTTACCAAGCACATCTGTGCAAA